CAAGCAAGGCTCCCTTTTTCCTCCACCAGCTAGTGGGAAAACTACACTAAAACCTTCCCTGGGATGCACTTTATACCTTGCACCAGGAAAAAGGGCACTTTCTGTAGAGTGAGGATGCTGGATTGATCTGACAGGTGGTAATATGCGTGATAAGGTCTCCCTGAAAGTATCAGCGTGTGTGCGTGTGTATGCGCGCATGTGTGCGTGCGTGCACACGCATGCCACACAATAGGGAAGGGTGCAATGTGAAGCTTTTCTAAGTGTGATATTATGATGTTGGTGAAAAACAATAAACAACGTTTTTTATCTGGCCGTGGGACACTTCTGTATTTAAACCCATCAGCAGCGGGCATTTGAGACATTCCTAGAATCAGTCAAAAATCAAACTGCCATGAAGCCGCACCAAACTTGTAAATAGCTAATATCCAGGCAATTGGGCGCAAGTGTGTCTTTAAATATCAGTACTTTTAAAAAATGTAAGAAGTATGTGTATATGAGCACGATTATTTTAAATTCAGTGTGCTTTCCTTCTAGGAACTTGAAGCTCTCTTTTGTATATTGTTTAAAAAACACTCTGAGCTTGTAGGCATGAAAAATATAATTTCTTTCCCATTTCACAGTTGGAAAAACTGAATTAAAGAGAACAATGCTAGTAATTATCGATGATTAATAGAGGTGTGTATGTAAATCAGCCTGAATAAGTGTGTGAAATTAGATGTGCTGATGCCAGAGACCTCGGCTCATGTTTTTTTAAAGACGACTGCTTTCATATAAATCTTTGTGCGAGTCGAGCATACGTCTCTGTGTTGAGTATGTCTGGAAATAGACTTTGAAAGAGTATATGGGTATTAAGGTAAAAGTATTGTGTATTATAAGCATACTCAAAATAAATTAGATGAGTGTTTACAATCCATTAGATACATATCTAATGACGAAGCATACCTAATGGTTATTTATAATGCAATACAGGTGCATTACATATGTGCCTGGATGCCGCAAGGTATAGACGGTAGTTTGGGTGTACTTTGATCATTAAAGAGTGTGGGAGAAGGTGCATATTAGTTTCTTAGGATTGTGGGGATTAATTGAGTTAATACATGCAAAAACCCTCAGAACTTTATTGGTACATGAGATGCCCACTCTCTATGTTAGCTATTATTGTTATTATTATTATTGTTATTATTATAGGAGATGGCACTGACATTATAATAAGGAGCTGAAAAGAGGCATTTTCTCATTGATACCTGGGATAACATCCTACGGAAAATAAATGAAGTTGTAGGGATTGTCTAGTTATTTTTACGGCATGCACTGACTTTAGGATTTTTCTCCCACTTTCCTTCCATCCCAGTGGAGCCTGGTGTCGGAGTGCCCAGTGAGAGCAGGTACGTGGCCTCCTCCTACTGGCTGTTCTGATGCCAGGCCCGCCCGTAACGATGCCAGGCTCTCTTTGGGAGGAAACATGCCAGGTGGACCTCAGATTTCTGCACGACTGGTTTGTTTGTGGGTTGGATTTTAATTTTTTTTTTTTACACTTTAATTTTGGGGGTTTTGTTTTGTTTTCTGAGAAAGCTTTAGACAGCTGTATTAATCATGCAAACCCAGCCATGTGCAATGTGTTTTATCAATGGAAAAACAGGAACTGAATGGCAAGCAGCTGTGAACAAACCCAGTGCAAAGCCTGAGCCTGGAAGATAATCTCAACATTTCCCAAACCCACTCGCCACGCGGGGTTAGTGAATGGAAAGGCTGTTCACTTGGGATAAATAATCAGATGGGAGGCAAGCACGTGAGACACAACCCAGGGTTATTAATTATTTTTTTTTTCTTTTTTTAAGTTGCAGTGGTGGGAGAAGGATGGGCTGATTGAGTCCAGAGAATCCCACACTCAAGGGGATTCCTCACCTAAGGGTGATAAAAACAACACAATGGTAATTTGTCTTTGTCCTTTCTCTTCTTCTACTTCATTTTAACTTTCTGCAGCTGGTTTTGTCACCTCATTTTGAACCTGTGGTCCTTCTCAATGTGAAGGCCTTTCTAGGTGCCCTTCCATCATGAAAGGCTATGCACAAGTGAGCTTTTGGGGAGGAGACAAGAGCAGTAGCATCACTTCCCAGGATTCAGAGGCCTCAGGAAAGGATCTGAACCTAACAAAATGAGAAAAGTTCCCTCAGTCACTTAGAGCTGACTCTTTCCTCATTTTACAATTCAGTGGATTTTCTGCAGTGATATAGTCAGAGGTAGTTATGCAAATATATGCAATTCAGGACTCATTTCAGAATAAATAAACCTAAATTAAAATTAATGGGGAAAAACACCTATCAGAAACAGATCAAGGATGGAACACTATTTTATTTATTTATGTATATCTTTTAAATTAAGAAGCAGGGAAGTACACTGGGTTTTTTTTGTTTTTTTTTTGGTCTTGTTTTTGGCTGAATAGGAAAGGACATTTGAAAATTTCTGATTGGTCACAGACCATACAAATTATCCTTTGGTGTAATTCCAGTATTATTATTATCACTGCAGAAAATCAAGCAATATGATGAAGGAAGCCCAGGAGAAATACATTTGATTTATTGAGCCTTGTTTTTGTTTAATCACAGCTTGAAGGAGTTTAGGACTGCATTCCTGCTGCGACTCTGATGTTTATCCCCAGTCAGCTTGATGAGCCATGTAGAGTGGGGTTGGGGGTGGGGAGACCCTCCAATGAAAGATATTAACAGTGAAGCAGCTGAAATTAAACATGCATTTCTGTTATTGGAACGGAGGAGGGAAAGTTCTCTCTTTTTATGATGGGCGGATGGAAAAGGACCTTTGCATCAACCAACTGTTTATGGACACCTTAGGCACTTCATGGTAGACACGTCGTTTTCTACGTAGATGATGACAATATACAGTATTTAGTTAAATAAAGGTGTTTTGTCCTATAGATACAACCAAAGTGAGGTAGGCATGCTTTTCATAGATATTTTGGTATTTCAGTGGCACTATAAAAATAGTTAAGGATCCTACATGTTAATATTTGTTCCCATGGAAAACTGCATTTCGCATGGATTGCCATCTTGATTGGACAGAAGAGGAAAAAAGAAAAAAGGACTTGATTTCTACAAAGTTAAAGTCCTTGTAAGAAACAGGGGATTTAAGAGGGCATTATCTTTCTCTGTCAGCCTCACACATCAGCTATCCCAAGTCTCCATGAACAGCTTTTCAATTTCTACCAGCAGAAGCCCGAAGTATTAGTAGTGAGATAAACTACGGTCTCTATATTGGATCTAAAGAAGCTATCTACAGTCTATCTACAACGTCAAATCAAACCCGGGTCATTCTCCAATCAACAATTCAGTGTGTGGGAAAAGATCCAAGTTCAATAAAATCCAACATGCTCCATTCCAGGTCCAGACTGTTTTTCAATATCCAACAGCTGTCCTTTGTGAATAGTGACTGACTTCATTTTGTTCCATGTTATATACATCATAAAGCATGATCAGATAAATATGTGAGTTTGTGGCTGCAGAACTGCTCTCACAAAGGCACAGTGACAATGTTCCAAGCTCATCTTGGATGGAGCATGACCTCTTTGAAAATGTTATCCACTGGGGCAAATGTGTGTGTTTGTCATGTCAAGATATCTGCAAGATGGCAACATGATAAAATGGTGTCAATCTTTGCAGCAAAACTAGAAGATAAATGTCTTAAAATAATTGTGGCATATCAGGAATTCAAAATAGAATATTTTCCACGAACACGAAGTTTCATGTCAAGTCTAAAAAACAGGCACATTTTAAGTCTTATTTTTAGTATCTGGGATAAGAAACAGATTTCATTAATGTTTTAGGGAACAATTTTATTCAACAGAGTTCTTCTAAAAATAGTTTGGACCCTTCTTAAAATTTAAGAATAACTTTTTTATTAAGCTGTCTAGTTGATCCTTGAAACCTTGCAATCCTCATTGCAAATATAATTAAAATAAGTTTGCATATATGTGAATACATACATATGCAAAACAGCACGTTATTGACACTGAACATGCTCACCGAATTCTGGCCTAATTTTTAGTTTGGGCGAGTGTTAATGATACATGATCCGTGTTCAAACTTAAAAAACAGCAGCTTTCTACCTTTAATTCTCAGCACATTTCCTTTATAGTGTATACAATAATCTTGTTTAATTGGATTTATTTTTTCCACACTAGGCCCCGCATGGCCTACTCTCCATTTTTTCTCAGGTCTTTGAGTGTTATTTGCAAATCACTTTCCTGGAATTTAATTTCAATGGTAGGTTGGTTTCATTTCAGAGTTTTTTGTATTGTTTTAATTTTATTTGCCAATTTGCCTTTAAATAGCCTTAAGCTAGAAGGCTGGGGCTGTAACTTGCATCTAAATGTGATGAAGGAGGCAAAATTTAATTTGAGTGTGTGGAAAGTTTTATGAAAAGGAATACAGAATGACTATCTTACTTTTTCATTTGTGTTTTCTAAAATAGTCATGGTTAAAAGGAAAGGCCCTCAGATTAGCCAAGATTTTCAGAAAAATGAATGTCCTTGTAACATGGCTGAGTTCAAACTTTGACAGCTAGATAAATTTATTTCTACAATTTCAAGGACTTCAGATTCAGATTGTATAAGCCTCCAAATGTGAGGGTGGCCAGTTGGAGGATTCGTATTTTTATGAGCTGCAGAACGTAACTGGCTGTGTTCCAAATACGTGAGTCCACAGTCACCTGTCATACATACTAATTGAAGAGAAAATTGCTTTCTGAGTTTGGCGTCATCTCGCCAGCAACTGGCCAACTTAAGTCAGATGACAGGTCTGTTACAGGCCTATCAGCTGGTGTGGGGACAATGGATGGACTCTCTTTTGAAGGTTTAAAGAAAAAAAAAAAAGATTTCTATTGTATGTGAATTTTGTGAATCTGTGTCCCCCGGTTTGTGTTGTGCACATTATAGATGATGGAGAATGACCCAGCAACAGAATTACAGTCATAAAAATCATACTGACCTTGAATGGGATGGGGGATTGTGGGTGAAACACGCTCTATAGGGGAAAAATAGTAAGCATCATGGAGAGTTTATATAGATCTATATCTATATCTCTTTCTATATATATCTTACTCATGTTCAGCTACTCAGATAATTACAAAACAGAAGAATTTCCAAGCTTATAGGATTATATCTCCCGTGAAGCATTTGTCTATTCTTCCTGCCAACACCAAAGTATAGGAGAGCTATTAGTACAATTTTAAATCTAAAGCCTTTAAAAAAAAATTAGCTAGAGTAGGAAACAACATCTTATTGTGGTAATCCTACACACAGGATCCTACCCTACAGTGAAAAAACTCACTACCGAAATTACAAGTTTTTTGGAGGGCTGGGTTGAAGGTATATAAATTAGTAGTGATCACATTCAGTCATTCAACTTCATCCTGGTTCTGGTCTCTTTAACTCATGACAGATGGACCCATGATAGCTAAGGATGCTTTTCCTCTCCCTGAGCCCTACAGCTTATATCAGCTTTAGCCACATATGTAGAAAATTTATTTTGGGAAATACTAATTCAACTTTTCCCTCAGGTTTTTCTTCCATTCTAACACCAGTGCAGGGTAATGCCAGGGAAATAAGTAAATTGACATGATATAATTTTATTTTGTCTCTTCTTTAATGTCACCCTCTTGTGATAATACAATCTCACCTGGGATTTGATCAACCAACCAAATTTACTTGATGATACACCCTGTTGAGTAAGAAAAAGCATTCTTTTTTGAAAATTTATTTATTTATTTATTTAAGAGAAAGCATTCTTTTGAACACTTGAGCTTGAGCTTACATATCACTCACAGTCCCATCCCCGTGCTACTGATCATAAATTGATCATGCAAGCAGAGCTCAGACTTGAAGATATCCCCTATTTATCTTATCAAAACCGCAGGTTTAACTCGAAATCCTCCTCTGAGGCTCTTTCAGAGAGCAAGAATGGTGTATTAGGGGTCGCGTGCATTCCTCTCTGCCCAGAAATCCTATAGTGCAATATAATTAGCCTGCACTTTATATCCCTCTTAGCTGTTTGGTTAAATAAGGACTAATGATAAATTGAAATCAATAAAAATCAAGATAATATTCAAATTTGATCTGCCTGCCATCTCGTACCGTCAGTTTAGGAAGAGTAGATTTTGACTGGAATTTGGACACTCAGTACATCGGGATGCCAAGAAAACCTGGTCTCCTTGCGGAAGGAGCTTTTCTCTAGCTTGGCTGAAAGTTGTGGCTTAAACGCCAAAGTTTCCTAAGTGCATTAAGATGGAACAGGTCAATAATAGCGCAGTGAACAATTGTGTCTTAGTTACACAAGTGTCAAATAGAAAAATGGTTTAAGCCTCCACTGGTTACTTGGTATTAAGTTTCCAGCTTTGAAAATAAATAGCTAAACTGCTTTCAGCATTTATGGAGCAGCTGGAGACTACTGTCCCATACAATACTCTATCTACTGTATTTTGTTTTTATTATTACTATTATTATTCAGATCATTTAAATGACTCAGCTTAATATTTTCTCATCACACTGTTCACAGCTGGGTAAATGCACTCTGCCCTCATTTCCACAAGACCATTTATATCACTGAAATCATCTCACCCATCCTCCTCTCATCGCCCTCTCAATTGTTTCTCAGCTTGTTACCATCATCTTAGCTCCACCCTAATTCTCCTCATCTCAGCCCTACCACGCCCCACTGGTTACTCTCATTCTCTAACTCCATCTTACTTACTCCTTTAGATACTTCCCCACCCCAGCTTTTCGTCCTTATTCTTCTGTCATCACTCTGCTGCATTTTATAATTCATGCCCAGGGTTTGTGGGCTCTTGGAAGAGTGTAATGGGAAGTGATATCACTTAAAATGAAAAAGAAATTCTTCAACGTTCGAAATTCAGAAGTAGGGGAGGATAGGAACTTAGCTGCTATGTGCTTTGTCTTTCGGCTACTAACATTTGGGGAAGTCAGCCGAGCTTAGCAGGTGATTGGAAGGTTCTTCGAACAGAGCCCTAAGGTTGACCCCAGAAACATATGCTGTGGCTCTTAGTAACTTAACTTAACTCTGATCATCGGTTTCTTATCTGTTAAGTGTGCATGTGTGTGTGCGTGTGTGTGTGATTGGTTGATTCTGCTGGGACACCATGAGATAAATGGGGCATTAACACTTAAGAAGAACCTCTGAATTAAAAGCACTTGAATGGCAAAGGCTGGAGTTGATGATAAGGTGTATATATGGAGGTAATTTATTAACGAGATATGATTTTCTTTTCTTTTTCAATGGGTATTGTGGATGTTCTATAAACTTTTTGGAAGTCAGCACATTCCACACCTATTCATGAAGCTAAATTACATCCCAAATGCCCATCTATTTCTTATTGTAGCCACAGAAAGCCCTTGTAAAAAGTTTGCAGCCAGTCTTTCAAACCGCATGTGGTAGTGTTCCAGTAGAGGCTCACATTGTTTTATTATGTGTATGTGACATCCAGACATAGCTGGTTAAGAGGCTTTGCCAAGTCTTAACTAGCATCATCAAGTGGTATATATTTAAACCCTGAACCCCTGAGGTGATAACTTAAAATGGTTTCTAAACAAGTAGGGGAAGCCCTCATTTTAAGGGCTCTCTCCAGCGCTGGGCTGCTTAGGTAATACTTGAAATTTAATCAAGTATAGGCTTACAAGTTAATGATCTTCTAAAATTCAAAAGAAAATTTGAAAACCTCCTACACACTGATGTGGTATGGCTCAGTGTAGATTTCTCTGCGTTTTTATTTTTTTGTACTTAATAGCTTCAAAATGCCTTCCCAATCACACATTTTTCTAAAGCAGAGGGTAATTGATTAGTAGGAGTGTCTGTTAACATGTGGGAATATTCCCGTCCTGAGGTCAAGCACTGATCACTAGGCTGGAATATTAGTTAGGAATCTCAGTGTGCCAAAGATAAATCAACAGTCTAACTAATCTAGGGGACCTGTGTTGGTAGGGGTTAATGGAAATGAAATGGGAGGTGGCCAACAAAGAGTCTGAGGTGGGGAGGGATGTGACAATATTTAGTCCTGGAAAGACCTCGATAAGTGAAAAAAGGAGAAAGAAATTATCTATCTCCTCACTTCCAAACTACAAAAGATACATTTCCTAACATTTTCTCCACATACACAAACTTAGGTAACATATTGATCTGGAGCCTGGATTTTGGAAACAGATTACTCGTTTAAATCCCAGCAGCTTTACTTAGTTGCTCTAGTTGCTTAACCTCTTTGTGTAGTGGAGAAGTAGGAGTCCCTACTAGGACCGACAATGAAATGAGATCATGTATGTTAAGTGTTTAGCACAGGTGCAGAGCACCTTGTAAGAACTGACTTGATCAGGAGTGACCACATTAAAATCATCACCCTATCCTTCCTCCCTATCGATTGTGTTAAAAGTAACTCAACATAAGCATGGAAACAAGATAGCTTTCCTTGCTGGGTGCATTGTAGTCATCAGTGTGGAAACAGAATCTGCGATGTTCCATGTGCTGGGGATGGACCTTCTCTTGGCATCAACAGAAAACTTCATGTGGTACATATCCCCACAGCTGAGGAGGACTAAGGAGCTGAATCTTTGCTGGTACACACTGTACTGTTGGACTAATGTGTTCAGAAAAATTACACAATGTAATGCTTTTCCCAGGATGGAGAAAAATATATAAAGTTGGATATGATACAGCCTGTATAAAACAATGCTGGAATGTGTGGAGAAGGAAACAAAGGAAAGAGGAGTGCTTCCATTGGCTTAGGAAAAAATTACTGTGAATACAATGTATTCTTGCACTTTCATTTAATTACTTTGACCCCACTGGAGAGCAATATTTGAATAGACAGTGGAGGACAAGAAGAATCCGTGACCGCAAACTGACCCTGCGTAAAAAGTCAGCACGTCTTACTGAGGTGGACACTGGAAATGTGCTGACACCCCTGTGAAGATGGATAATCGCGAACTCTTTCGGGGCTCTGGCTCTCCAGTTTTCCTGGCTTCCTCCTTCTGGCTGGCAGCAGCTCACCAGCTGCCTCATCTGCTCTGGACAAGCTGGGTCAGCACAGCTCCCCTCTACCCATACAATGTTCTCTGTCAGGGCTGTGGTAGCCGCCCCTCCCAAGCATCTCTCCCCTTCTGACTCTGTTCTGTGGAAAAGTACCACCACCAGCAGTGTCTTCCTTCTTCCCATTCAACCCACCAACTTTGAGTCCAAGTAATGGGCAATCTGTTCACTTAGGTACTTCCTTCCCCCCTCCTGCCCTCCTTTCCCACCTCCTCCCACCCTCTTCCTCTCTCTTTCTCTCTTGCCTGTGTGACTAGGGTTCCATAGACCTGTATTCCCAAGGATTCAGCTATGATGGCTGTCACAAGGGGCCTCCTTGTGGTCACAGTGGGGTAGGCATGGTGGAAGAGCCCTTTCAGTTGGTTAAGAAGTGCAGCTTCCCCCTTAACCTGTCCATATTTGGGTCTTGGGTCTAAGAAAGAGGGCAGTAGTTCCATTCATTTTCATCATGATGCCTCTGAAACGTTCCCATATGGTGGGAAACCAGTTACAAACCCAATGCTGATGCATGTGCTGCCCAATGCAGAGTTGATGCCTAAGAAGGCTGCTCTGCAGAGGGCAGCGTGGGCCCATGGGGAAACAACGCCCCTTTAATTATGGTGCTGTGCACTTCTCTATTGTATAATTTCAGGTGAGCTCTGTGAAGTCACAATGTGATTATGATACACTTGCCCAAGTCTGTGATTCTCAGCTTACAAACAGAGATTCTGTAAGATTCTTGGCATTTCTTAATTTTACAGGTGGGTCCTTTAAATGGACTTTTTATGACTAGGGCAATGGTATTAGAGGGCTGGAGATTACCCTTCATCACCACCAGCACACTAGCTGTAGGTATCTCCATTATCTCTGACCTAGCCCACCCTTCCATCCTCCACCTTCCTCTCTCCATCTATAGGTGTCATTTTACTATTTGAAATATATTAGCATGCTTCTGGGTGGGATACAAGGAAAAATACTTTAATGCAAATTATAGTTGTTCACTTTCTCTAACCCAATGGTTCCACTTTCTCTATGAAACCTCTTATTCTCCCTACAGAACCTCTTATTAAGTGTATGTCGTTCTACTTAAGCAGGTTACATTAGATACGTCAGAATCTTGGATGTAGAGTGGAGGCTGTTTCCCCCCTGTTTATGGAATTCCTGATGTCAAGAATGAAACAAGTAACTACATTTCTTAATAAATACCTTCTCAATTGTCTTGAGGTATTAGTGTCTCTAGCTGAAGTAAAGAACACTACTGATGTTTGGTCTTTGGAGACAAGTAAACAGGGATATGAATTTTAAACTTTGTATTAAAATTCATATGATTTTAAACTTCAAGTGTTTGTATGACTGTATGCCATCAAACAGTGATAGGTTGAAGTCAATGGGAATTTTGGGTGAGAAACTGAAGCCCAGATTTAGAATAGTTTGTGGTGGTTGTTTTTTATGAGCAGAATTGGATCTTGAACAGTTATAAAATGGCTTTAATACTTCATCTCAAGAGAATTTTCACTTAAATTAATTTTTCTCCTAAAAATGTATGTATATATATTTTTTCTTGTAGGCTCATCTAAATCAGATAAAGCAAGATGGAAACGTCTCTCCTGGTTGTAGTATTTCTAGCTTTTCCAACTGAACATGTGCAGGAAAAAAAAAAATTCCTTGTGGTTTGTTATTCCAAAATAATAATAGTAAAATGTGAAAGATTTATGCGATCAGAAGAGAAACTAGAGTATCCAAAATAATAATAGTAAAGCTTTTGGACTATCTCTTTTAGTCAAATGAACTTTCTGGCCCAGCATGTGCTAACTCTTTTGTTTGTTTTACTTTCTCTGATAAACATTTTCCTATTCCAAATTCCGTTTTCTTACTGCAAGTTTTGTGATCAGCTGGATGGGACTGATCACTAGAGAACTACGTAAAAATAAGAGATTACTAATGGAACTGTAGTTCCATTGCTTGCTTTCCTATTCCAATTGTGTCACCTTCTCCTAATCTCACCCGTCATCCTTCTGTTTCTCAGGGGGCATTTGTGTCTATGCTCATAGCTTCAGGGCCAGCAAGGGAGGGGGTCAGATAGCTTACGGAACAGCTACTACAGAGTCAGGCTCTGACGTGGGCTCTCCTACGAATACCAGGAAGTTAAAACAACTGAGTCCTCTTTAGTTGGCCTTAGGATCTTCTCTGGTCTTTGGAAATGCTCCTCTCTCCTACCATTTTATCTCTTCCAAAAATATGTCAGGTAAGTAATGTTTCCTGCTGTCGTATAGAAACCTTTCTGCAGCCATTTTTCTTCCTTTAGATTTTGTATCATGTTTTAATCATTCACTCCATCATTTCTCCTGTGTTGTTAGAAATACACTTTCTTTTCCTAGCCTCTCCCTTCTTCCGGCACCTTACCCAGACTCATGGAATTTTTCTTCCTCAATCACTCTTACTAGGGCCATTTTTTAACTGCCATCCATGTTCCAGGATCTTACATCACCTCTGTTCCTTAAGGAGATTTCTGTTCTTTGAATATTCTTACAGTTAATCAACCGGGGGGAAAATAAAACAAAACACAGATTTTTTTTAAAAAGTGGAAAAACAACAGCGACAACAAAAAACCACAAAGTAGTTATCAAAAGTAATCCAGGAGATGGAGAGAGAAATTATCTCATTTGTAAATCCTGCCTTATGCATAGGGATCAAGGGCCCGTGTTTTTGTTTCAGTGACTACATTCTTGTTTTTGTGCAAGTTTTAATAGGTAACGTAGATGATAAGGTAAGTCAATGATATTCGAGTTTTCCACTGGAGAACTAGTTGACTTGTTCTCCTGAGTCAGGCCCTACTTTGGCATACTTACTGAAAAGGACTAGGCTGGCATTGGTGACCCCCAGATTGTTGGCAGCCACGCAGGTATAGTTGCCATAGTGCTCCTCAGTGACGTTGGTCACCGTCAGGGAGGACTGGCCCTCCGTGCTCTTAATCTCAAGGCCATTAGCGCTGTTTATCCTGAGTTCAAAAACAGAAGAGTAAAAAGAAACACTGATGAAGACTTGGTGCAGTAACCCCTTTTTTATCATGATACTGGAGGACATAGAAAGAAATGTAGTAGTTAGAGCTTGTGGTTTCCTGCTCAATTCTTTGTTTTAATAGTGCAACCCCATATCATCAGAATCAATGTCCACTGACAGAGAAAACTCAGGAATGGATGAGTTTCATCGGGCTTTGGTTTCTGCTACAGGTAAGAAAGACATGCAGGTCTTTCTAGGAAAGTTAGGAAAACTTTCTAGGAAACGACCCACTAAGCACCTACCTCCTTCTTTGCATGTAACCTGAATGCCTTGGGGCTTTGGGTTAAGAACTACAGGCCCCAAAGCACTTGATACAGAGATGAGAAAAAGAAGAGTTTAATAGTGTTAACCCACATCATGACAGCGGAACTTGGTTCTGTCCCCAAGACCACCTGGTGGAGCGATGGGTGCCCTGCCCATTTGGCACATACCTGGTGTCATCCCGGTACCACTCAAAGTCAGGAGCAGGCACTGCCGAGGCCTCACATTTGAGTGAAGCTTTCCTCCCTGTGGTGGCTTCATTGCTCTTGGATTCTGTGATAGTGGGAGGATCTGTAGAAAAGACAGGCACACTGTTGACACTAGAGTCAGAGGGGGCTGCCAAATTTCCCTGCGAGACGGACTCAGAAAAGATGATCTGATCTGAGAACTGCACGAAAGGAATAGTCTTCGAGCCTCATTTACATGAACTTTGTGATCAGCTGAATGGCACTGATCACTAGAAAAATAAAAATAAGGGATGATTAAAGAAACCATAGACTTGCTTTACTTAAATGTGATACCTAATAGGGTTTTATGGTGATGGAATTTAGGATTTCTTTCCCTACTCCAATAGACTATGGATTGTTTCAAGCATAGATTATAATATTTAGATGGTTTTTTCTTTTCATAAATTCAGAGGTGATACCAAAGGACTTCGGATTTTAAATGTCTAATTTGAACAATTTTTCTTTCTCATCATTATTATTATCACCATTATTGTTATAGTTTGAGATGGTAGTAAGAAGTCTGCTGCAAGTGATAGAGGATTAAAGTTCTCCCAACATAAGTTCAAACAAACTAGTGTTAGATGCTGACCTTTTTTTTCTAAGTGTTTCCTTATTGCTAGGACCCAAGTAAATTGTGCTTTTGTGTGTGAGTGTGCAATTGAAGCGTACCCTGGCGCAGAGAAGTCTGCCTGGTGTGTCAGTTTTCTGTGCTCGCTGGCAGTTGTATACTTGATATGTTCTGCTTAGAGTTGGGTCTGCAAAGCTGTAGCAGCCTTGAAATGAGCTCAGAAACACATCTTATATTCTAATTTGCCATGATTCTTTCAAACAATCCTACAAAGGATGGAACAAGTGTTTACAGGTCCGGACAGCTGAGCTGGGGTGGTAGACCCAAGCTCTTGCCTTGATGATGCTGTATTTGTACAGGTTATGGACCTTCAAGGAGAAAAGGACTTTTCCGTCCAAAGGTCATTTGGCAGGAAATGGCAAGTTGGCTCTTTGCACAAGTCAAAAATAGACCCAAACAGTCTATTTAGATTTTGTAGAGGAGAAAGATTATTTAGGGAAATTAGCAAAATAAACTCTAGTACACAAAATTCATTTAAATCTCTGCTCTTCAGCATCTGGTCTGGCTCACTCAGTTTTGATTTTTGTTTTCATATACAAAACTGTTTTCCAAGTTCCCTGCCTATAGAAGGGATCTTAGTTTATTTTTTTAAAAGATTTTATTTATTTATTTGACAGACGGAGATCATAAGTAGGCAGAGAGGCAGACAGAGAGAGATGAGGAGAAGCAGGCTCCCTACTGAGCAGAGAGCCCGATGCAGGATTCGATCCCAGGCCCCTGGGATTATGACCTGAGCCGAAGGCAGAGACTTAACCCACTGAGCCACCCAGGCGCCCTCTGATCTTAGTTTAAAAGGACGCACAAAACCATGAGGTTAGTCTGCAGTTTTCTCTTCCATTTCATTTTCATATCAGTTTGGACATCTTGAAATTACTGCCAGAGAGAGGAGGAGTTAAAGCACATTTGGATAAGCATCACTAGCCATATGTAGACAGATGTGCCAAAGTGGGTGGTGGAAATGGCTGTTTTATTTTAGACCCATCTACTCATTTTTGTAAAGACACAAAAAAGTAGCCAGATGAGGGGAAAGAACCCTGGATTGGAAGCTAGGAGCCCTGGAATTTAATTTCAGTTTGGTTGCATGGACCTCCCATCACACAGTTTATCTTACTGAGCCTTGGTTTTATTACCTATAAAGTGAGGGAACCACACTTTAATGACCTCTACTAACCCTTCCAGCTTTAAAAACAAAAACAACAAAAAAAAATCCAAAAAACAATTCTAGTCCAAACTGCCCATCCTTCACAAATGGGCAGTTGGTATCATTATGACCCAAGTGTATGTTCATACCCATAACTCATTTAACCCTTAAATTATTAACTTTTAAAATTACAGCTTATTTATCTGTTCCATGAGTTAGGAGTCAGGATTAACAGTCAGAAACAGGAAACCCAAGGTCAGATTTTGCCTCTTCTCTTAAACAGAACTATGGCCTGCCCAAGTGTCTACACCAGTTTGAACTTTTTCTTTCTCTTCTTTTGAAAGAAAGAGTTAGCTTTAAATGATCTCCAAGGTTCCACTTAAAATTCTTTCATTTGGTGATTTGCTGTACGGATCATTAGAACACATTAGTTCAAAAGATCATGGAATAATTGGTGGTAGTGGTGCTGGTGGGGGAGATATCTGTATAGAGATGGGGCACTGAACAGAGGTTAAGAGCTTGAATTTAATATTTGATAGACATGAGCTCAAATCCAGGCTCTATACCTCACTGTCCTTCCTCATTACAGAAGATCGTGCTTTGCCCAGAATCACTTTGCCTCACCTTCCTCAAATGAGGATGCTGGAACCAGAGGCAGGGAGGTCCACTTGGAGAGTACTGAAGGAACCCAAGATAGCCTGCACTAGGTTTGTGATAAAGGGGATGGAAGGGAAAGGACAGAATTGAAATTGAAAGATAGGAAGCCTCAGAATTGACAACAATAGATATGAGGGATGAGGGAAAGAAGGAGCAATGTCAAAGGTAACACCAAAAAAAGTTTCTGGGTTGGGGATTTAATGATGCCATCCACTTCAAAAAGATCTGTAAGCAGAGAAATAGATGACCATGAACAAATACTAGTTTCCCATCCTTACCTCTTCACTGTAGTAAGCTCTGAAGCTGCCAATGATTCCACAATTTGTAGCATGCTGGCCAAAGAGATAATCTTGCTTTTGATTCTATTGATTTGTTTAATTTCTCAGTGTGTAAAAGGAGTTTTAACCAGTGTTTGTGAGTTTCTGGAGCCACATGGTTATGAGTGACATACCCTTAATGATGACTACCTTTTTGCTAAACCAGCCCTAACCTGGGTCTGACTCCATACTTTCCATCACTTCCACCTCTGACACTCATGTCTGTGGCAACTCAACAGAATAATGCCATGGTACATGGCCCCCAGCCCCTCCACCATGGGATGAGGAATCCATCTTATGGGAGAGTTCTTCCTCACTCTGGATGTTTCCTTGTATGTGGTGGGAGCTTATTTAGTATACCTCCTTGTTCTGAGACTCACAAGGAAGGAATGATTTTGACTGAAAAGTCTGGAAAGAATAAATGAGATTTCTTTGGCCCATCTCTTTCCTTGCTTCCTTTTGGGACCAAACTTCTGGCAGAAAACAGAGGTTCTCCTCTGCTTCTCCACACTAAACTCTTATTCGGGGCTCTCTCCGTCCTGCTCTCAGGTGAGTAGGCTCTCTCTCCTTCCTGCCCCATTTCAAGGCTGCCATGATTGGAGAGATAAGTCCCCCAACACTAAGTACCACTGCTAATCATCTTGATCTCTAATAATGGGAGCAATTGGGCCTCTCATACATCTCCTTTACTTATTTCTCCATTAGTGTAAACCTGAATACCTATGTAGTAAGTTACTTGTTAGCTCCTCAGAGGTGACAGCGAATCAGGGTTTTGAGCACTTTTAGGTGTATTAATTTGAGGATAGGATGACACTGGTCAATTACAAAGGCCAACACCTGCTTCTCTCCTTGAAAATCTAGGATGTGTCTCCTACCAAGGTAAATTCACAGATAATGATAAATATACAAAGAAGTCATTGTTTCTAATATTCCTCAGATGACACAATGGTGCAGTTCTATTCACTCATGGCTTATTGGAATGAACATTTCAAAATTCATTTGTAATGAATTTTGTATAGGTGAGGCTAAGAAAAATTATTACAAATCACATTGCACCATGCCTAGTATAGTTAAAATAATAGATGTCCCTGCTCAAAATATTGTTATAATAAAAATGTGGCTTAATAAAAATTCTGCAGAGTTCATTGTTATTCTTTATGTGACTTTGGAATAGCCTACAATTTTCAAAAGACTCTTCCAGTCTTTATTACTTCAAAATGCTGGGTTCTGAAAATATTAATAAGGACTTTCTTCCTCTTAAATCACCAACAACAAGAGTTTTTCAATTGGAATGAATAGGATAACAGCAACAGTGGCCTAGCAAACCAAACATCATTCTTTCAATCATCCTAATTTTTGGAATAATAATATAAAAGAACAAAATTCTTAATAAAGGTCTCAACTTGTGGGCATTTACCATGTGTCAGCACTCTACTAGGCTTTCGGTATTCTTTTCATCCAAATAATAGCTTTTGGACATAAGGCTTATTAACCCTAGTTTATGAATGAGAAGACAGACCTACACAGGGTTACTAACTTGTCCAAGTTCACATAGCCAGCATTTGATGGAGTCTAGATCTGAACCCATGTTTTGAAACCTATGCTCTGTACCTCTCTGGGCTTCCATTTCAATGAGCTCCTTTAAAAAGAAATGAATTCCTAATAGGGACAAATAACCAGTTAGGGGAACATGTTGGTAGCTTAAAAGGTAAATGTTCTATTTCTATTATTAAAAGGTACCAAAAATGGCACAGCATACAGTGACTTAAGGGGTATAAACCCGCATTAGAAATCAGGAGTTTTGGGCTCAGTTTCTGCCTGTGCCATTTAGGTTGTCATCACCCAGGGGTGACATGTTGATCTCCTGGGGTCCCCCTCCTATAAATGGTGCTAATGACCCTTGTGATCTGTCTCACAGGTTTGATGTAAAGATCAAACGAAATCATGTATATGAGAGCATGTTTAACCCCTGAAGTGATTACTTTTATTATTATTATTGCTATCATTTGATATTTATTACTTGTATTTCTATTATTCACATAGTGTTTTGGAAGGAAAGAGGGCTGTGGAGTTAGACCTGAGTTAGAATCCCAACTCTACTTACCACTCACAAGTTCTTTGATTTTATGGCCAAGAATGCTTATATTCTCTGAGCTCTGTTTGTGTCCTCTCAATCAAAAAGAGGGATGATTTGATTATCTTTTGGGGTTAGTGTGCAGTGGTGCACCAACAGAGCAGGGACAGAGAATAGAGGCAATAAGAAAGGTACTATCTTTAGAGAACTTAGAAACAATACTAGAATGAACTCAAAGTAATCTCTTTTTTTTTTTTTTTTTAATCACTATGTCCCAGAAATAGTAAACTTAACATAGTAAATAATGTCAGTGATAAAGTAAATACCTCCTTGCTGGGGTAGTTCAGGCCCAATACACCTCCCTCCTTGGTTAGCCACTGTCAATGTCATGATTACAGTGACTCCTACAAAACCTCTAGCACAGTCTTGGTACTCTGAAGGAATTCAGAAAATCATGGTTCTTGTTCACGTTGCAAAGTTATGGTAAAAGATTGTAATACTTTGGATTCATACTATTTTCTCTGGGGGTCCCCTAATGGAGTCATAAGCATGAGGACATGTCTTTACTGACACCATGCCAAATATAAGAATAAACTAGAGGTTGGCATGGAGAATGTATAGCTGTAGTTATGAATATCCAGAGAAAGTAGCCAGTCTGGTTCCCTAATGAGCAGTCATTTTCCTGAAATCTCATCATTAGGTGATTTTTGAATCAAAGCACTGAGTTAAATGCAGTTAAAATGCATATATATATTATCTGGAAACAAAGGATGTCTCCAGTCCCAATGGTAAATTCTATGGTAACTAACCTCTGCCTCCTCTCGTAAATGGCTATCAAAGCTTAAGGGTGAGCCTTAGAAATGCCAGCATCCATGCCCCACCCCCCATCTGTGTTGAGTTCATTAGTTCTGGACATCAGTGTGGAGGCAGAGCTGAGTTCACATGGAGACAAGTAGAGGGGGAAAGAAGTTATAGCTTGGTAGTGTGAACCTAGTTGGAGACATCATTGTGGGAAGGTGGAAAGCAGGAATCTTCGCTGGTTAACGGGATGGAGGGAAGCCTTGAGAATTGGGGGCAGCTTTGGAGAAGTATTTCTGCAGAAATAGGAAAAGAGTTCAGTGTAAGGAGAATCCAAATAAACTTAACAGTCTGAATTTATTGAACGTTGACTATGCACTAGATATGATCCTCAGGATACTGGGCACTAGGACGAGGTAAACCCATAAGCAGCTACTTTTAATCCACTGTGAGAACTGAAATTGAGGCAATCTGTCAGGAAAGGACAGTTGTCTCTGGGGATGGTACCTGGAAGAAATAAGCAGCTGTGTTGTAAGTAAGACACAAGAAACCAGAAGTCCTGTCTATTGTGCTAGGAATAAGCTTATTTAGTTGAAGAGATTTCAAGTCAATAATTTAGCTTCTGTAAACTCCAGGACCTCTCACAACTTAGAAAATAGATGTTGCATGTCAAATGGCTATATGCAATGCTATAAACCAACTGTGGAGAAGGATTATCCAAGAGAAGTAAAAAGGAGAGACTGTAGAATCCAGCTTGTGAGGTAAACAGGGGAAACTGTTATGTCTACATCTTTTACTTACTGCTCTAACTTCTCAGTGTCCAGCAACAAATATCTGTTGGCAACTGAGTAAATGAATCAATGAAATGGTCGTAGGAGAAAATTACCAGCATTGGAACTTTTTTTTTTCCAGTGGTACTCAGGGTCTGTTTCATTACAATAAGCGATTTAGTCATTATTTATCTTACCCATCCTGATCCCTGAACTAATTCCAGACCCTGAGTTTTGAAAAGGAAGAGGAATCACTTTAAATAATGTGACACTTTCACAGTACATACGCTTAGATGAAGTGATACAGGTAATACTAGGTATTTCTTGGTAGGAACAAGTTTTGCTAGCCAGACCTGGTTCTGTAATTCAATCCCGGAGACTTTATCTACTTAATACAACTACATTTAAATAGGACAAATTGCACAAACAGTACAACAGGTACATGGCTAGTTGCTCTAATGTGATACAAACCCAGCTGATGAAGTGCTGGTTAAAAAAAGGTGACCTGAGTTTGGAGAAATGTGAAGAGGGCAGACCTTACCTGTGAGTTTTTTACCTGCTCACTCAGTCAACATTCACTGAGCAATTTTTATAAGGTCAGGTATGTGCTAGGTGCTGCTGGTTAGGGCATCCATTCTGTATGTTTAACTAAACTCATAAAACTCCGTGTAATTTGTTGTTAGACATCTTCTCAGAATCTTGAGGTTCTGTCTATATTCTTCCATGGTTCACTCATCACTAGGAAAAGCTATATCTTCATAAAAGCTTTTTCTTAAAAATTATCAGTATTTTCTTCTGCTCTAAGTTACACTATGGGGACAGTCAAGAAGGAACAATGTCAGACTAATTGCGCTAATAATAATAGGGCCCGGGCGGCTGGCTTTGATCTTGGGAACCATCTGCGATGCAGACCACTTTGATGTTTCACACAATGGAAGCATAAATATTTTCTATGTGCTCCATGATTGGACTTTCAGAAATCTAATTAAGATGAAGGTCAATTAAGAGAAAATGAAATCTTAACTCTAAAAGTCAGAGAAGAGGTGGAAGAGGATGGCATGGCTGTGTGTACATAAAAGAACCTAAGTAACCTAATTATAAACTTATATAAACACCCACAGAAATTGCCTTTCATGTGAAAAAAAAGATCCTAAAGCATTTTATAACACTAAGATCATTAATGTGTCTTTGAAACACACCCAGCACTGAAAAAGAATAATAATACTGGCATTTCAAAACTCTATTCCTAAAAAAAAAATCACAGGCAGCTACAGGATAAAAGCACTTCAGAGCTCATCAGATGAACCCCTTGCTTCTTGGAAATGATTGCCATAAGTGTCTATGGCAGAGTCCTATGTACTGGATTCTTCTAGGTGTGGGGTGAAGAAGATTTCACTGTCTCAGAAGGCTGCAAGGTTAAAGCAGGGCAATGAGAATGGAGCAGCCTGGCATAGACCAGGTCACTTTAGACAAGTTTCCTCAGCTCTCTATGCCTCAGTTTCCAAATTCATAAAGTCGAACTGATGATGTTTATCTCATGAGTTTACTGTGAGAATTAAATGCAATTCCATTAGTCCAGTGTTGCACATCGTAGGTACTAAGAATTGAAAATGCCTTCTCTTCTTCTTCCTTCTGAGAACATGGGCTTTAGAATCAAATGGGTCAGAATCTGAATCCACTTTCTTACACTTGCTTCCACATTGGAAAGGCAATTTTACTTCCTTGGGCTTCAGAGTCTTAAACCCTAAAATAGAGTCAATTCTATCTACCAGGACAGTGAATTTATATAGAATCGCTGGTATAGAGGTGACTTCATGGAGGGCTTAAGATAATGGAAAGTAACTCATCATGGTCTAAACTATATTTTCAAATATGGGTTAATGTGTTTGTGCATTTGTCTTTGTGTGCCTATATTCATGCATATACATGTGTTATATGTGCAGATGTATGTATGGGTGTGTAGGGTATGTGTTTGTATGCCTGTGTGTGTGCACCAAATGCATAGGAACTATAAGTATGTTCCTTTGTCCCTGTCACTAACCACGATTGTGTGATGAGGGAACTTGAATTTGAATGATGTGAAAAGTCACTCCTAACTGAACAGGGTAAACGAATTCTCTTTATTCCTTTGCTGGGTGACACACATCATATGGATCCACCCCCGCCCCCTGTCTTTTTGAACTACATCTAAGGATCCTTTCATCTGTGAAGTTCAAAGTATGCCCATTACCTATGCATCTTAGTGAAATCTTCGTCTCTAATGCCCATACTTTGGGACAAATAGATAACCAAACTAATTTATCAGGTATCCCTTGTAGCCGTCAGGGACATTGGATACCTGACCACAGTGACTTAAATTTGTTCTCAAGGCCAATTAGTTAAATAGCAGAGGAAGTGTTATTGCATTCTGATAAACAATGCAATAACAGAAATTCCAGTTGAAGCAGAATTGAATTGTTTCTTTTTCCAAAGTAGCGTGACCTTGTTCTCCACAAAGACCAAAATAGTGATTGCCAGAAATGCTGGGGCTGTCTGATCATGTTTTCTTAATTCTGTCGTCCCAGTGAAAGACAGACTGTATTGTTAAATGCATTATGGGTTATATTTAGAGTTGGTAGAGTTGATTTCTCTCATTGGCCAAGTCCTGTCCTTGGATGCGTCCAATGTATAAATGTACATCCCTGACCCGAGGAGCATCTGCTTGAAGTGCAATGTTCCTTTGCTAATGGGATCTTTAGAGCTTGCCTGTGGTGGAGGTGGGCCCTGGGCACACAGCACCTGCTGGCTTTTGCCATACTCACAGTTCACGGTGACCTTCACTTGTCTGACATCCGCCGAGGAGACTTCATTGGCAGCTTTGCACTCATATTTGCCTGACTGCTCCCTGGTGATGCCAAGAATCTCCAGATATTCTTCTTCTCCTTCAAACTCTCTCCCTGAAAAACAGAGATTTGCTTGGTTGTTTTTTAGGTTTCAAATATGCAGTAGGACACCTATGTTTTCTTTATAGAAGCAGTAAATGCCCACGACTTTTTAATAATTTGACAATGCGCTTGTCTGAGGTCAGGTCCCACAGAAGCTGACACCAAGACAAAAAGTCACGTGAATGTGATTACAGAAGGAACATTCTCGGGAAAACCCACGACGGGAGTGGGAAAATGGGACCTGGAAGAGGAAGAAGCCAGGAGAGGGTGCAGGTCACATCCCACAGAGGGTAACTTGGTTTAATCCATCAGGGAGCTCTGGGGAGTGCACACGTCCCACTCAAACTTGTCCTGACTGAGCGTCAAGAAGCTGAAGTGTTTATGCATCTGCACCCATTAGTCACTGGCTAAGGGCTCAGAACATGTGGGAATTGGGCACAGAGTTGTAAGGGTTCAGAGGGGCTACTTCAGAGCTCTGTTGCTATTAATTACACCAGGTGGCAAAGCACGCTTCTGACCAAAGTTGTTGTTAGGAAAAGTGGTTTCCTTTTGAGAAAGGAAACAGGCTTGGCTCAGTCTTCTCCCTCAGATTATGTGGAATTCTGTTTACAAAGGTCGTGTTCAAGACCCCGTCTTGCAGCTATGGTTTCCGTGCTCGGTGTCAAGCTACTTCATCACTGAGACTTTCATTCAGGCCAGGATCCAGATGCATGAGGAGGTGCTGCTGATGCTGTGCTTTGTGCTTTGTGACAGACTGTGGTAGGGAGCTCAGTATCCCTAGCTTCATCAGTTGGTATTAGGGCTCTGGAGGTCCTTTTTGGAAAGTTCCATGAAGTTGGATGTGACCATTTAGTAATGAATTTAGTCATGGAATTTCAAGACAGGGAGGTTTGTTTAATTCCCCTCCTGTGGAGTATAATTGACTAAATAACTTTCTTCTTGGAGAGGGGTGGGGGTAGGAAGAGAAGGAATAGGAAGCGGGAAGAGAGGAAAAGGAACCAAGGGAAAAGAAGGGGAAGGGGAAGGGGGACTGAGCAGGGGAAGAGCTTTGCCAGAAAGGCCTCCTGACTTTAACTCCAGCTAAATTGAACCCTCTTTACACCAAATTACAAAACCCCATTGTTGTTGGGTTAGGATAAAGCAGCTGGGAAGGGTGCAAAAGGACACAGTCCTGTCCCGTGAAGAAGTCTTGCTCTTGGTCATGCCACACTAAAAGGTACCAATTCATAGCTTGGCTCAAATGCCACAAGCTGTTTTCCTTTTCTGGAAATTCCCCAATGGCCAAATCAACATAGCAGACAGCTAGCACAGAGACATATTCACTGTCTAAATATGTCAGCCAAGCCTGTTAACTAGGATCCCAATAGAACACAGGGCCTCTTTGATAACATCCTATAACACAACTGTCGGGACTGTTCCAAGCTTCAAGTATCCTGTCAATTGTCATTATCACTAGTGTGGAGGAAACTATACGATCCCAACAATAAAAGGCAGTAGTTATATAGAATTATCTGGTACTCTAGTCCTGCACATTTTCTAGCACACGTTTCTACTGAAAATGTTTAAGAATAAGTCTATTAAGGAAATAGCTGCCTATTATCTATAAAAGATTAATTTTTTCTCTCTGTGTTTTCACCTGTTTTCTTCTCCACATTCAGGGAAGCGGCCAGACCTGACTTCACATATCACAGAAGTAGAATGTAGTAGGAAAGAAAACAGAAATCTTAGGAAGTGTAGTAGTCCACTGTATTGGATGAGCTGGGAAGAATTTGGGCTTAAAGGAAAAAAAAAAATTCTTTCCTGCCTAGTTGCAGCTGTGGACTGAGAGCTGTGTCAACTAATTGATGCTAGAATCTTATAGCTAAATGCAAATACCTTGAAGACAAATGGCAATGTTGACAACTCCAAGCCAAAATAGGTGTAAACTCATTAAAAAATCTGGAGTGCATGGGCGCCTGGGTGATTCACTGGGTTAAGTGTCTGCTTTTGGCTCAGGTCATGATCCCTGGGTCCTGGGATCGAGCCCTGAATCAAATCAGGTTCCCTGTTCAGTGGGGAACCTGCTTCTCCCTCTTGCCTCCCCCCATTATGTGCCCTCTCTCTCTTGCAAAAATAAATAAAATCTTTAAAAAAATATCTGGAGAGCAGAGGAGGAATTGATAGTAAGGCAACATTACTGATTTTGAGAATAATGGTGGATTGTAATAAAATAAGAGTTTGGTTCAGTTACTAAAGTGTCTATTAGTTGGTTAGTTCGGTTCTGTTAGTTAGCTAGTTAGTTAGTTCGGTTCAGTTAGTTAAGTGGCTCAGTGAGTTAAGTGCCTGACTCTTGGTTTCTGCACAGGTCTTGATCTCAGGGTCGTGAGATGGAGCCCACAACAGGTTCCATGCTGACCACCCCTCTGCCCCTCCATCACCCCTTCCCCTGTTTGTGCACTTTCTCTCTCAATAAAAAAATTAAATCTTTAAAAAAAAAAAAGAAGAAGGGTTCAGAATGATTTCTGAATGGTATAGGATTTCTGCCTTGCTGGGGCCCCACACCCATCAACCTCATTCCTGGGTAGGTCCTGAGATGTCAGTGAAAGAGAGAACCAATGTAGTCTTCTTAGAGATGGTCAACAACGCTGAATTCTTTTTGATTCACATAACATACCTAGAAATGGTGGGTAGTGAATCACTACCTTGCATTTAGAATTTCTAAAGGAGAGGGAAGATGACTGTTAGCAGTACCAATTAAGGCCCGATCAGTTTGGGAAGATGGCAAACCTATGAGGGTAGACACTCAGATGAACTAGAGAAAATAAAGTGGCGTTTATTGGGTTTTTGGACCTGGGATTCTTACACGCTAATATAGGTATTAATAATCCCGCTTTTTCTGGTAAGCTGATAATAAAACAGAGCGTCATGGGACGAATTTTCAATTCCACATGTCCAGGAAAAATCTCCCCCAATACCACTGAAGACAAAGGGGAGTTTCTCTTACGTGCCCCATCCATAAGGCGGGAAGATCATTTTGCTTCTCCCTTGACAGCTCTCCTCCTCTCTGACAGCTGCCTTGTTCCCCAGCACACATGTTCAGAGCTGTTTCAGTAGACTGGGGAGTCTCAGTGTACAAACAAAATGCAGGTAAGAGAAGATAGATGGTCTTCTTCCATCCAACAACTTGATAAGAATTTAAAGTATTAAACAACACCTTTGGGCCTTTCTTGTCATTCTTCCTTTGTCTCTTGGATCCTTCAGTTGAAACTCTTATACTTCCTGGCACTTTTTTTAAATGTTGTTTTGTTATTATTATTCTTATTCTTGAGAGAGAGCAGGAGCATGGGGAGGGGCAGAGGGAAAGGGAGAGAGAGACTGTTAAGCAGGCTCTACACCCAGCACAGATCCTGACTTGGGGCTCCATCCCAGGACCCTGAGATCATGACCTAAGTTGAAATCAAGAGTTCCACGCTTAACCGACTGAGCCATCCAGAGTCCCATGGCACTTCTTGATGGTCTATTTTTCTTACACCCACAGGGACTTTGCCCACAACACATTATCTGTCCTACTTCCCTTGAGCATTTCTTATTAAGCCACAGTGATCTGAGAGGAAATGGGAGCTTTTCTGTTGCACAGGATTTGGCACAGATTAGTTTGTTGAGTTAGCTGAACTAAATTAAGAGACACAAATAGAAACGAGAGTCAGATTCAAGACATCATATAACTCAAGAGAATGAAGTATTGAAAGGTGGCTCGGTAATTCTCTAAGAGAAGCTGGTGTATCAATCCACTCCTTCCGATCCTCACAGAGCACGTTTTCACTGGGGGAGAAAGAGTGTGCCGAGTCCTCTGCTGTTGAAAAGCTGGACAGGGCATCTCTGGCTGTGCCCTGAGGATGTATTTGCTGTGTCTCAGTAGCTTATGCATCTGCCTTCAGCTCAGGTCATGATCCCGGGGTCCTGGGATTGAGTCCAGCATTGGGCTCCCTGCTCAGTGAAGCCTGCTTCTCCCTTTACCCCTCCTCCCTGCTTGTGCTCTCTCTCAAATAAATAAATAAAATCTTAAAAAAAAAAAAAAAGTGCGGCAATACCAACAGAGCCCCTGTGTGGAAACAGTCACCATGACACACCTTTTATCTGATCAAGTGCAATTTTTTGTTTAAAGGACGGAGTACATGTTGTTCACCTTGAGTCAGAACTCTTTTTTTTGTTTTGTTTGGTTTTAAATATTTTATTTATTTATTTGACAGAAAGAGAGATCACAAGTAGGCAGAGAGGCAGGCAGAGAGAGAGGGGGAAGCAGGCTCCCTGCTGAGCAGAGAGCCCCATGCGGGGCTCAATCCCAGGACCCTGAGACCATGACCTCCCAGGACGCTGAGACCATGACCTCCCAGGACACTGAGATCATGACCTGAGCTGAAGGCAGAGGCTTAACCCACTGAGCCATCCAGGCGCCCCTTGAGTTAGAATTCTAAAATGGGCTCAGATCCTCTTGCTCCTCTCCCTTTACGCCCCTCCCCCCATATCTGTCCCCCTCAGGGCACTTTCCCCCTCCTTTCTTTCAGTTCGCTCTGACTAGCTGCTCTCAACCCAAGGGTCCTGCTGCCATTTCCCTCTACTCTCAACCTCAAGAAGGCTTTCGGGCCAGAGCGTGACACTTGACCTCTTGCGAAGTTCTCCGGCTGAACACAGCCCTCTGGCTACAACGTGGGCTCTTCTCTTGTTCCTGTTATTTTCTGCCCTGGCATAAATGTTTACTTGAAATGCAAATATCAGTATTTTGGTATTTTAAACATCTCAACCTATTTCCACAAGCCTGCTCACGTCGCCGAGTGTTGTATTTATTCTGGGATCTGGCGTTTAGTTTAAATCTCCCTCTGCTTAATGTGCTTTTGTGTCTCCTGGCAATTTTCAGCTACCGGGCTAAATAACTTCTTGTCCTCCTCAGTGGGTGCGCCTTTCAAACTCTTGCACATAATTAGCATATCCCCTCGTAGTCACTGTTTACTCAAATTGTACATATTAGTTCTTTT